TTCTCCTAGAAAAAATATTCCATTGTACCCTGTTTTATAGACTCCTGGTACAGCACTGTAGGATCAGCACTTGACCATGAACCACAAGGTTGGCAGTTCAAACTTAGCAGCTATTCTTGGAAAACCCTATATAGGGTCATTATGAGTTGGAACCAACTCGACAGCACTTAATAACAACAACCCTATTTTATTATTTTTTTTAAAGTATTGAAATTTTGACTACGCATAATGACGATGCCTTTTGTGTAGCTTGCTTCTTAGATTCCATGGCAACCCTGGGACTTGCAGCCTATGGATATGGGATTCGCTATGAATATGGGATCTTCAATCAGAAAATCCGAGAGGGATGGCAGGTATGTGAACCAACTTTTAGAATCTCTTCAGTAAAATACTTCCCTTCACAGTCCTCTGAATGATTCTATAATTTGTAGACCTGTAAAGTTGAGCTTTAAAGAGCTCTGGTAGCGTACTGATTATGAATCGGGCTGCGAACTGCAAGGTGAGCAATTTGAAAATACCAGTTGCTCCACAGGAGAAAGATGAGGCTTTCTGCTCCCTTAAAGACTTACAGCCTTGGAAACCCTGTTCAGGGTCACTATGGGTTGGAACCAACTCGACGGCACTTAACAACAACAACCAAGTTGAGTTTTACTAAATTTTGTGGCATCTGGTTGTAATCAGTGAATACCATCAGTCTTCCCCTTTGGGAATATAAGTTCCCTAAGAGCACAGAGCCTGCCTCTCTCATTCACCACCAGATCCACAGCACCTCGCACAGTGCCTGGCTCACAAGAGTGCTCTGGGAAGATTTATCACGGACTTCCTAAACACGGGCCGACCACAGTGTGCCATGCTTCCTGCTCTGCACAGCACAGAATGGAAGAGCACATCTTTCAACTCATGCTCTCCCCCAATGACCCTTGATGGGAGGAAGCCTGTTGCTATTTTGCAAGTGAGAAAACTAAGGCTCTTAAGAAGTGAAATGATTTCCTACTATACCCCTAAAAAGGGCATGACTGTATCCCCAATTTTCTGGGTCTCCATTCAAGGACTTCATTCTTCTTGGATCAACTATCAACACTCATGGAAGCAGCAGTCAAGAAATCAAATGACGTATTGCATTAGGCAAATCTGCTGCAGAAGACCTTTTGAAAGTGTTGAAGAGCAAAGCTGTTAGCTTGAGGACTAAGGTGCGCCTTGACCCAAGCCATGGTATTTTCAATAACCTCGTA